TCTTTCCCTTGCAGGGAGAGGTCCTTTATAACTGTAAAAGACTGGGGCAAATTTCTAGCTGGTTGATTTATAAACACCTGAAAAAACCATAGTTTATGTGGAAAGTGGTGAAACATCCCTAATCAAAGTGATGTCACTGAATGCCACTTCAGTTTAATAAAATAAGCCATGCCAAAGTGGCTTAAGGAGGGTAGAAGACAAGGCAGCTCTAAAGGAGAGAGAAAAGAGTGGGGAGGAGAACTGTGAAACCAAAGGATGCTGCTTCTCCATTAGTTCTTCCCAATTGCCCGTGGCCAGTAGAAATGTTCTGAGGCAAAATCTCAGGCAAAATGCCTTGGGTTGTTGATTTTATTCAGACAGTTTTCTATCTTACAAATCAGCAAAGCAGCACCTTCCTTTTGTTTTCTTGTTTAAAGTCAGATACTTCATTGTTCACGTCTTTTATAGCCACAGGAATCCATAAAAAGTAGTATAGCTTGTCTAGTTTTATTTCATGTATCTTCATGCCTTCCTTCATCCAGTAAGTATGCTTGCACATATGTTGGGAGAGACTGAGAGTTGCTGTTTTTATAAGGTGGACTTTTATGCCATTGTAATGTGATGAGTTTACAATTTTTTTTCTTCCTTTTAATTTCATTTGGAAAACAAGAAGTCATTTTTTGCCTCATCATCTATCTTCTGCAAAAACAATTTAATACTAACTTTTTTTATTTTGCAGAGCTGGTTATTTGCCTCAGAATATTCCTTTGGAGATTATCAGATACCTTTCAGAGGAGAAGGATTTTCTGCCTTGGCATGCTGCCAGCCGAGCTCTTTATCCTCTGGATAAATTGCTGGACCGCACAGAAAGCTACAACATCTTCAATGTAAGAGATACAGTCTTCCTCCCTTTCTCGCTTCCTCGCTTCCCCCCTTCCTCCTTTCCTTTCGTCCTCTCTTCCTCTCTTTCTCCCCACCCCTTTCTCTCACTCTCTCTCCTTTTTTTGCCAAGAGTTGAAGTAGTCCCCAGTCAGATACTGTAAATGACCGAGGGATATTAGCTTTCTTCATAATTATTTAAACAGTAATTGTCAGGCTTTGGTTCATTTGCATTTGAACAGTAATAACTGTTGTTTGAGGCATATATGATTAGTAGAAGGAAAGGTAATTGTCCCTCCTATAAAATATTATGACAAATAAAATGTTTCGCTTAAAAGAGCCAAAGTCATCTATTCCAGATTTTCTCTTTTGAGGAGCCCCATGGCGATATTTAGATTGACACCCAAGCTCAGCAAGGACACCAAATGCAGGCACAACTGAACAGGATGCACACAACTGAAGTTAAGATTTGTAGTCATTAGTTCATCTAAAAAGCCATGGTGAATTCAATGCAGTTACCTTAATTAACAAGGATTAGATCACCATTGAATCAAAAACCCATTCATAATTGGGTCTGAAGGGACAGCTAGCAGTAGATAATTAAGATAGACATGACAAACATTTTAACATTTTACCTGAAATAAAAAAAAATAAAAAAAATCGTAGCTACGCTGAAGCATGTTTGATGAAGTACACAGGATTTGATTGCAGCCAGTGACAATTATGAACTCTTGGGTTTTTTGTATTCACTATGAATTTTGTATAGGCTACATATTTTCAATGGCCAAAATACTGTAATGTTAGGTAATTTTTTAAAGCCTTCAAATGAAGGAACTCTTTAAAGCCTGGAATGCTTAAAGGTGCTTTTTTAAACATAGATTTGCTTGTGTGTGTCTGTCCAGAGACACATACACATACACAGAGGTACCTGCTGACATGGAAAATTATTTTTGTAGAACATGTACTACAGATTAATAAAGACACATTGAGGTTCTTTCTTTATGAACCTACAATACGGGCCTACATGCAAACCAGAGCCATAATATAAAATGATGTGGAAATAACTTCCATGTTTAGTCTATTGTTAACTGCACAGAAAAATTCTTATGAGTCTGCCATTGCTATTTCACTTTTAAACATGGCTGTGTAAAGAAAGCACTATTTTAATAAATAAAACCAGTCAAATTCACAGCTGGGTTGTGTTTTATCACTACTGATGAGAGCTTTGAAAGCAGAGGTGATAGCAAAGGAAATAAAAAGTCTTTTTAGTCACAGAATAAGATATCTGCTAGAGAAAGCTGCACTATGAATCTCCTTTTGTGTTGACATCATATATACATGCCCATGCATCCACAATAATAAAATAGATGCTCTCCTAGGCAATTCTTTATACCTCAGTTCTCTTTTTCAAATTGCTAAATTCCACTGGCAAAAGATTACACTGAATATGGTGACAGTGGTTTTCTTCACAGCTGGCCAGAATATGTAAATGTGTCTTCTGTGTAAAAAGTAAAAGTAAATTAAAATACATCTTGGGCTCGTTTTTTTCTTTAAGCAAGAACCCGAACTTAAACCATAGTGTCATTAAATGTACAAAGCTCATTTGCAGCCACATTGTTTGGTATTCTGAAGTCAATTGACTGTACTTATGTGATGGTTTTGCCATGGCTATGGATATTAAAACAATATTCTTTTAAAAGTGAACGTGCATGGTGCAGTTGAGATTGGCCATAGAGTAGACATTGAGACGTTGACACTTGCAACTTTTCAGCCATGTATTGTGAGTTCAAAATAGCATATAAGAAACTCTTCTTAAATTGATGAGGTGTGTAACAATAAATTGTCTTATCCTAGGCAGATAATCAAATAGCTGTTCTGTAGATTACAGAATTACTATAGCAGTGAAGGAGGATCATATATGGACACGTTGCTTTGCTAAATGCAAATCAAAATCTTTGGAAAGTAGGACATTCTTGGAGGGTAAAAAAAGAGAGACAAAACCACAATAGTCAATAGTATTTCCATTTCAAATAAAAACCAAAAGTTAACACTGAATATATTTTTTCTTTTCCCCCTCAGGAGTATATTTTAAGACAAGTTGCATCAATGTATCTCAAGCTTGGATGGCCAACGAATAATTTAAACAAATCACTTGTTCAAGCATCCTACCAACATGAGTACTGTTTTTTTTCATTATTATTGTTTATTTGCAGGGTATAGTTGTAATAATGCACTCTCCTAAAATTTGGGTTCATCTTTAGTATGCCATACTTTCCTAGCTTTGCCTTCCTTCTGTTTTTCTTTCTGGGTTAGAGGGAGAGGAGCAAACTGCTGTGAGATTAATTCCTCTTTCCTGAGTTTGGAGAACATGATTTCCTAAGCCTTAATTTAAAATTTGACTGCACTGGATATTTAAGAACTTGGACTCATGTGACCACAGAGGTCAGGAAGAGTGCATAAGTGTAAATGGGGGCTGGTTTTGGTCCACGTCTTTTCTTTAGTTGTTGCAGCAGCTCTAGGCATTAAGTTGACACTGAGACTTGTATAGCTGGATTATCTTTGATGCCCAACTATCAGCTGCTGCCACTGTTATAAGACATAACTTTTTGTAAACAGTCAAACACATTCATTAATACAGCCACATTGCTTTCTTAAATTTGGACAGAGAGTTACGTCGGGAAGTCATCATGTTGGCCTGCAGCTTCGGTAACAAACACTGTCACCAACAGGCTGCAACATTAATCTCGGATTGGATTTCTAGCAATAGGAACCGGTAAGTGGAACCGAAATGTTAATTTCCCATTTCTCCTACTCACAGGCAATACAGCTGGCATGCTCTTCCTCTCCTCCTGGTCCCCATCCACAGCATCCCATTCTGCAGAGTGGTATGGGAGGAAGCAGGGGCCACTGGCTGTTATTTAAAAACATCTGCAGGGCTTCAGGATGAATTATTTCACTTGGCATATATGAGTGGGTGGAGGGGACACCCATGTAGCGACTGCCTATTTCTGACAAATTGCTTTCAGATAATTATATGCTAGAAGGTGAGAAGATGGGGTTTAAGGAGAGGTTTAAAGGAAGAAAGGTGAGTGAACAACTCTTTCGCATACTGACACGGAGCCTGCGTTGGGGCAAGAGAGCAGAAGGTGCTACGTGATTAAAGAAGTGAGAGAGGTTAGAGGCAGAAGGTCTGAGAGTAACAAAGGAGGAAACACAATGTATTTGAGGGAAATGTTATGAAGTACCTAAGGGTGAAGACTTGGAAATCCATGTGATTCAGGAATACATGGAAAAGCTCATGTAAGGTTTCAGAGAGGGGATAATATGATAGCTGATGTGTTGGGCATTAGTGGCACTGTAGTGGTTTGACAGCAAATACGTAAGTTAGGCTGTCCAGACACAGGTTTATTCAGCTGAGGCAAGGGAACATTGGCTGTGGGTGGTGTATGAAGTTGCAAGCATCTAAGAAATGTTAAATTACTGAAAATAGAAATATTTAAGTATATAGTGATCTATGGACAATAAGTACGGAGTATAGGTTAAGACCATGACTTCTTGAGAAAGAAGGATGGATTTTCTGATTATGTGGAATGTGAGTGTAGAAGTATTTGCGTGAGTGCATCACATGATATTTCAGTTTAAAGGAAAATATTTTACTTCCAAGAAACAAAGAAAAAGAGAACAGAAAAAGTCTTATATTTTTAGCCTCAATCTTTGTATTAGCTCTGCAAAAGGATCAGATCTCTATAGACATATAGGTATGTAGGATTTTTCAAAGACATCTTGGGTCAGTCAGGTGTTTGTTTACAAGTAAAATATGTCTGTCTTTTTTTTTGTAATCTTTGAAAATCCTTTACGGGCATACCCAGTTACTTAAGTACCTGAGTGTCTTTTAAAACCAGCCATGAACTGAGCATTAATGGAAATTGCATTCCTATGTGACTTTGAAACTTCTGAAAAACAGTGATCTTGAAACTGTGACTATGTACCTTTATATAAGATGTGTGTGAGGGGGAGGGTTTGCTTGTGTAAGATGATACCGGATATATTTACTATGAAATATATACCCGAGGGTTTCATATGAATTCTTATCGTCAGCAGCAACAATCAGTATGAAACTATTCAAAGAGAAGATTAAAGAGAAAGAGTCATTGGAAACAATCTGCAAAAGTAATTTACTTGGATATTCATTTGCAAAATTAGTTAATCAAACCTAGCACCATCTATTAGCATGCACAGCAGTAGATTATTCAGTGTTAAAAGCTGTCACCCTGCAAAGCTTTCTCCTACCCTGTGTCTTCATCCTTTCCAACAGGATTGAAGAAGGAGGCATCAGGAAAAAAAAACTTATTGCTTTACTAACAATAGCAAGAGAGGAAAGGAATGTATTTAAGCAGCCATCTGAAGATTCATCTTAGCCTTTCTATGGGGCCATTTGTGGGAGCACAAGATTGTGGCTGCCAGCATATGACGAGTATTATGATAAAAGCATCACAGCAGGGCAGAGGAAGAGAATAGCTACTGAGTTAGAGGAGTGCATTTCTCCAAAGGAACTGCATAGTTTTAAAAAATAGCTGCAACAAATAAGGTAATTACAGAATACAGATTGACAGTGAGCTGATAAATAGGGGTACCACTTGCAAAGACGACAGAGATATGTTTTTATTTATTTATTAAAGATGATAGGATTTGTTCAGTTCCCCACCCCAGAATTTACCAGTTGGCTGTTCTCAGAGCAGTCTCACATACGGAATGTAACTAACAGATGAGCAGACTCATTTCATACCTGCTTACATTGAAAAGACATTGCAAAGGCTACTAGTAATAGCAGCTCAGTAGACCTATAATCAGCTTGTGTTTCACAGTAACAATATTTGTAGGGGTCTGTCAATGTTCTCTCAGGTACGTTCAGACTCCTGCTGCGTTGGAGGCACCCCGTATTTCCTTTGCTCTGTTTAAACCAGCTCAGACTGAAACCTGAAAATAAAGCAGGGTCTCTTTTCCCCTGCTTTTCCACCAAAATGATGATGATTCTACAGTAAGAATTTAATTAACATGGTGTTTGAGTGATGCCTCTGCCTCTTTTAGCACTTCAGAGACAGTAGCTAGCTCAAGTGCAAAAGGCAAGCAGGTAAGTACAAGATACATGCAGAGAGCACATCCAACAGGTGCCATTTTGTATTCTTTTTCATCAGTCAAGCGTTTTGCTCAGTCTGATGCCCTTAACAGCTGTTTGTCACTTTGCTGCAAACAGTCACCTGAGAATCTGTAGGAATTCCTCAGAGCTTGTTTCCTCCTCACAAAGAAGGGGAAACTCATGCTGCTCATCTTTCTCCAGACTTCTCTGGCAACTCCTGGTGAGGAAAGCTGGCGTCAGGTGCTGAAACTATACGTATCATTGCCTGTTCCACTCCTTATTGACAATGAGTAAAGTTGTAGCTGCTGAAAACTACTTTCAAAGTTCTTGTAGATGCCCTTCCCTCTTCTGAAACAGAACAGAGACATTGACTGATGCATTGCAGAAAGCCTGGTCTTGGTGGGTGCCAGAGCATGAAGATAGAGTTCCAGAGAGCTCAGAGATACTTATAAATACACAGGTACAATCTGAGTTTGACTATGAGAGTGAAATTAAAGGCTAATTTGCAACCTTTCCACCCATCCCCTCCCAAAAACCTTTTTCTGGAAGATGAGATCTTTCATACAATGAGCTAATTCACAAGCAGTGCATGCTGGAAGGAACACAACTTCTTCAAAGCAGCAGACCCCAAAATGAGACTAGGGAATTAGACTTGTGTCCCAAGATTCTAATCAATACAGAATTAGGGTAATATTGAATTCATATGTGGTATTAAATACCACATAAATGCACAGGCAGTAAATCATGTAAAGGAGGTTTTTGACTGCAGTTAAGGTTTGAATAAGCATAACAGAGAATGTGCAATTAATAATACTGTACAAATGCTAAAATTCATAACTTTCTAGCCATGTTTTTAATCTATGGCTTTTTAGAAGTTCTTTTGAAATGTTTTTTTCTGTTTTACTTGCAGCATTTAATTATGGATAAAGTGTTGGGTAATAAACAAATACAGTAACATCTAACTCTGTTTCACCACCATATGCCTACAGTTGCTGTGGTTTCTAGTAATTATATTTAGTCTGGTAGGTCCAGAAATTAATTACCATCTACTCTTCACTGTAGGGGATTGAAATAATCATAATAATCAGTTACTTGTTTGGACTTTGTAATTACATGTTCTTGACTGTGCAAATAATTTGCCACTGTTCACCGAGTAAAATTGTGGTCATTGATAGCACAAAGCCAGAGGTCCTCTTTGTGTTTTCAGCACTATTTGAAAAAAGCCGTTAGATTCCCAACTGTAGCACTGCAGATTTTCTTAGGGAATTAATGAAAAAACCCCACACATGTGATCTGTAACATTAGCCTCCATGCATGAAAGTGGAAGTCAGCTGAGAGGCTTGAAGGCTTGAATTTCTAACGTGGCTTAGGTGATGCAGTGCTTTGTTTTTAGATGCCTGGTGCACAGGGCAGAATCAGATGCCTGGTGTTACACTTCCTACAAGGGGATTTGGGCACCTCTGAATGAAGCTGCTGGCAGCCACTATGCTGAGTGAAGATCCTCTTAACATGAAGCTGCAAAGAGAGTGAGCCCTCTTAGGGTCCAGCACTACAGTCAGAAAGATACCTGTATCAAATTAATATGTAAGAGGCGAACATAGAGTTAGGGGTCCTTCCAAAAGGTGTTTCAGAAGTGTCTTTACCTAAAGCAGGTAAAGGTCTGCTCCTTCTCTTTTCAAACACAGCTGGCAGAGAAGCTGCTCCTCAACCCCCTTTGAAATAGTAGTTCTGAGATTGTGGTAGAGCTTCAGTTTAGTACCTCGGCCCTGCATCTGCCACACGCAGAAGACCACCCTGATGACCTATCTGTGAGGTGTTTGGGACAGTATTAAGGCATTGCAACACACTTTCTTCCTCCAGTTGAAGCTCAGCCACTGGGATTTGCTTCATTAGCAAGAGAAATAATACAGCTCTCCAACCTAAAGAGGAGAGCATTCATCTGAAGGAGGGAGGCTTAAGTACCTGAAATACCAGGAATACTTAGTGTGCAAAGGACTTTAGGTGGTGTTGTTCACTATCACTTTTGCAGGGGAAAACATGATGCTAAAACAAGGAACGTAGCTCTAAAAAAGAAGTTTGGCTGTACAAGGAGCAAACAAAACACCTCACATGTGGCAGAGGCTGTAAGGAGACATCTGGTTGTATTGGTCTAGAAATTGATTTCGTACTTAAATCCTTGCAATTGTTAAAAAAGAAGTGATTATTTCTTTCAGCTGAAAATCTGAGATTAGATGTGAATGTATGTCTTACTGTCTTCTTAATCAATATATTTAAGTAATCTTGCTCTTTTTAAATTGTTGATGGCTCCAGCACATTTTGCTTGAAAGTCTGCATTGGCTTCTGACTTGATAGTTGACATGAAAGCAAACATTTTCTCTCTGTTAAGTTGGGATATGTGATGCTCCTGTATTGGAGCAATGGAAACCCTTGAAACTTCCATGTTGATATTCAGAAGAATACAAACCTAGTAGAAAACATGTAAGCACGTTGAAATTTCCCTTGTAGTTTGAGTTACTGGGATTCAGTCAACAGCAGAATGCTGAACAAGAGAAGCTACTGTTGGATGAAAATTAAGATGTTTGCTTCTGCCTTCATTTAACTGAGTTCATCCTTGTGAAGCTCTTTCATGTGTGAAG